TAGATTATGTTGCAGGTCCTGCTTGTTACCATTGGGCCTAACCCATTAGCCCCATCAGGGGCCGACCCCATGCCCACTCCGGACCCCACCACGGAGAGCCCCCGGCAGGTAGCGGACGTATCCAGCCAGCACGAGATTGGGTTTGCTGGAAATCTCCCGCAGCCATTGGAGGACTGAGTCCCCGGCCCCACCCCTCGGACTCCATGTAGGGCCTGACCCACTTGGCAGAGAGATGAGGAGTGATCAGCTAGCTGCTCCTGCAGTTAGAGAAAAGGGGCTCCCTGGGAGAGGGGGAGCAGGTCTCCTGGTTCGGAGTGAGGACTCCCTTAGGAAAGGGGTCCAGTCTCTCCCTTAGCCTAAAGAAGACTCCTTGGAGCGGACTGCCTGCCTTGCGGACTGCCCTGCGGGCTGAGATGTCACTGGACCAGGAGGTCGGCCACGCCCCATCCAGCCACACCTCGCCCCAGCCCCGCCCCCAGCCGTCTTAAGCCCCGCCCCTAGCTCCCTTAGTCCTGCCATCACCACCCGCGCCCCCCATCCCCCCCCCCCCCGCCTCCGGCGGTGGCTGTCCCCCATCACTTTAGCCCCGCCCCTGACCTCCCCAACTTCACCCCATGCAATCCCGGTCTGTCCCGCAGCCGCCTAAGTCCCTCCTCTCGCCTCCACAACCCTAAGGTCAACGGGACAGCCTTCTCCTGACCTCTCATCACTCCGCCAGGGCCCCGCCCCCACTGTGTCCTCCAGCCCCGCAGTGTCCAGTCCTTTTCTTAGAGGCCCGCCGTTCCCAGGTCAGGCCCTTCAGCGCCAGACACCTCTTGTGCTCCCGGGGGGTGGGGGCCGGTTCAGGCCTGGACTGAGCTTTGAGTACAGGACAGTGGTGACCAGGACCCTCCTCACTCCACCGGCTCGACGTGACTGCACCCAGTGAGCCCCGCACAGAGACCCCTTCTGGGGCTTGGGGTCCTGTGCCCTTCCTCACGTTACCCCTCCCCAGGGGATCGAGTCTGCAACCCAGGCTTATGCCCTTGACCAGAATCGAACCCAGGACCCTTCAGTCCGCAAGCCTACGCCCTATCGGCTGCACCAAACTGGCCAAGGCTGCAATGCTTTTTGTAAATACTTTTAATAACGTCCCTGCCTGCTGTCAGGTTGTGGTTTCTCACTGCTGTTATTCTGACTATCTGTAATCTGCTTTTTGCTGCTTCAGATGTATTGCTTCTAACTTGCTGTAGGCAGGAAACCATAGTTCCAAAGTTATTAGAACTCTATGTAAAGTAAAATTTTGAAAAATTGGTAAAATAAATAGGTTCTGAGTAAGTGTTCCTGTGAACAAAGTACATGGGCCTTCGTCGGTGTTTGCTTTCGATGACCTTTCTGGGCTCAGGTGGCCCCTGTGCACAGCTTGTCACCCTGGCTGTCATCCCTGATGCACTAACCTGCAGGTCCCCGAGGATGGGCACCATGACTTTCTCATCTTTGTGTCTGCAGTGCCTGCCACATAGTAGTAACTCATTGTATTTCGAATGAAAGAGTGGACCTGCGGCGGCCTCTCTTTTGGCAGCGTGGACGCCTTGCTCTGCTTTGTTTGCTGCAGTCCTGACTGGGGGCAACGTTCCTCCTAGGAGAGAGTCCCAGAGAGATGAAGTAGACCTGTTTCTAGTTGGAACTCCCCTCAGTCTAATGGGGAGGCACAGTCCCTCCCCGCGGGATAAGCTGCCCGAGTTGCTGCCGGATTGGATGCTGACATCCCTCACCCTGTAGGAGAGCTCAGCGTTGCACCCGCAATGTCTGCGCGTTGAACCCAAGGCAGGAAGGGTGGAGCAGCGGGTGGGGAGGCTTGGCTGCCTGCTCAGCTCCCCGGCACTCGGCTTGCTCTCTGTTCACTTCCTCTTGCGGAGGACGACTTTGTTGGTGCTTTAGTCTCTGTGTCTGGGGCATGTCTGGGTCTCATTAGGTTCAAAGCTCCAAAGAGAAAGAAAGCTGTTTACTCCATTAGCGTGGGAGTTCCCTGAGAGCTAAGTTCAGGTCGCTGCCACTCTGACTTAGGGGCTGGCTCCCTGAGGGCAGTGTCTGCTGCTTTCTCCACTACTTATAGGGCAGGAAGAAGCTGGTGGTGGAAGGGCTGACTGAGGCACTTCTTTCTTTTTTCAAAAATATTTTTTTTTTATTGATTTCACAGAGAGAGAGAGAGAGGGAGAGAGAGGGAGAGGTAGAAACATCAATGATGAGAGAGATTCATTGATCAGCTGCCTCCTGCACACTCCTACTGGGGATCAAGCCCACAACCCAGGCATGTGCCCTTGCATGGAACCGAACCCAGGACCCTTCAGCCCATAGGCCGATGCTCTATTCACTGAACCAAACCAGCTAGGGCAAGGGACTTCTTTCTTCCCACCTTTACACACAGTCTGCTGGCTCCAGGATGCCGCATGGGGAAGACAAGCCAGGATCTGCCTCAGGCCTCCCGGGTTCTTGCTCAGAGCTGGGCCAGGCGTGCGGCTGGGCTCTCTTGGCACCTGACAGCTTGCCCAGTGGGCAAGTACAACCCGCAGGTCAGGGCACTGAGGAAAGGGCTTAGGGGTTCAGTGCCTGTTGTTCCAGGTGGGTGCATCTCTGCGTCTGTGAAGGCCTTGCTCTGTCCAGTCTCCTGTGATGGGGTGAGTTGGAGCTATAGCCTCTGAAGCCCCTCTCCCACCAAGTTCTGACTCAGGGACCCTAAGTGGCTGGGGTGAAGGGGTCTTTCCCTGAGGTGGGAGCCAATGAAGCATCTCTCCTGCCTCCTCTCCAAGTTCCTACTTGCTCTCCCTCCTGCTTTCCTCCCATCCTTGCTCCACGGAGGAGAAGGAATTTGAGCCAGAAGGGACCCAAGGGGGTAACTGGTGGGATGTTTATTATCCAGTGCTCCTGTCCCATCCTGAGCTCACCGCTGAGATTTGGGGGTAAGTGTCAGGGTGGGGGAACTAACGCTCTGCAGACCTTAAAGGTTTGGTCTCTGCTGCTCAGGATGACAGGGCGTCTAGTGAGCCTCTAGGAATGGGCACCAATGGTAGAGGCACAGGGCCCCACCTGTTCCCCACCCTTCCACCTCCACAGATCTATGCAGTCTGTTTCCCAGAACCCAGCGAGACACGGTCCAGCCTGATTCCAGTAGGGGGTGGGTGAGCCGAGTGGGGCAGACTCTGTGAGTGCCAGGGGAGGGACTGATGGAGGGTTTGATAGGGAGGGGCCAGGATTCCAAGGCCCAGGCCAGGGTGTGGCTGGGGTGGACAGTCAAGGCTGTGGCCTGAACCTTCCCACACCCTATTCCTTCCTCCACCCCTGAAGTGGGGAGGCCCGTGTCTCCTGAGAAAAGAGGATGGGTGGGGTGCCCCAGGTTTTCCTGACTTGAATCAAATTGAGGCTTCCTGGATGATGGCAGAGCTCAGCCTTGGGTTGGTGGGCGGAGCCTCAGGGGTGGAGAGAGGAGGAGTGGCGAGGGGGGCTGCAAAGGAGACAAGGGGTTCAGGATGGGTCAGAGGGACCAGGGGAGGGGATGGATTTCTCCTTGAGTGGCCACCCAGTCTGCCCCAGGCTCTGCCCCAAGCTGGGGGAACCCTGGTTCAGTGGGTCTTATCTTCAGTTTCTACTGGGGCTCCTACAAGCTTTCCCAAAGCAGCTGTTTTCTCCTTGGAGGCCGCATGGGCAGATCACTCTGCATGGGGGCAAGGGACAGGGTGTGCTGATCCCTTTGGGCCCCTTGCGAAGCCCGTTTGGTGATAGGATCTCTCATATAGCCCCCTGCTTCAGCCAACTTGGTCTTCACCCTCTTCCCTCCCCACCAGGAATTCTCTCACTAACTTTGAGCACATCTGGTTTCTCCTGCCCCCTGCTCAGACTCCCGCTGAGAGAAAAGAAGATTGCAAGAGGGAGATAGCTTCCTCTCCCTTTGCTTCCTATGCCCCCTCCAGCAGGCTGGAGAGTGCTAACCGATGACCGATGTCCACACATTGCCCTCTTCCCGTCCTCCCTCCAGGCCCCTCCATTCCCCATCCTTCCCGTTTGTCATCTTTAATTCATAGGCCCTGGCATTTCTAGCAGAGAGACTCTAGTGCCAGGAGCTGAGTGTCTAGTGCCAGGTAGGAAGGGAGAAAGGAGTTGGCATCCAACCCAGCAGGAGCACCCACCACCGAAGGGATGGTAGCGGTGATGGTGAAGCTCTCAATACCTCCCCCCTCCTCAATGCTAGGCCATAATCTTCCAGGAGATGAACAATAAGAAAAAGACCACGGGCATTAATAAAAGTGACTTTATTGAGTTGTCTTGGGGTGATGTTCTGGGTGTGGGAAACCTAATCCTCCCCACCCTGCCCCCAGCTCTCCAGTGAGGGACCCATCCCCAGCTCAGATGTAGAGGAGACCACTACACCCCCAAGGGAAAGAGTTCAGGAAACCCTTCAATATATGAAGGAGAGAGCAGAAAGATGGGGAGTCTCTGGAAAAGGAAGCAGGGGGCCCTAAGCCAGGGGTTCCCCAAAAGAGGACCTAGGGAGAGGAGCCTGGGGCCGAGAGAGAGGCAGATGTGACAGGGGAGCTTCTCAGTAGAGGTGAGAGAGAGGAGGAGCCCACGGGTCCTTCTCAATCTGACTGCACCCCAACTTTCTGACCTCACCTCCTGCTTGGTCCCTCCATCTCCTTGCCCTCCTTTGCAATCTCTATTTCAGCTCCAAGGTAGGTCTTGGTGCTGCCCAGACATTCCACGTTGTTTTACATCTTCTTTGCCTCTGTCCAACCCCTTTCAGTAGGGTCCTCCCTCTTCTGCCCAAAGCCCTTAGCTTTCTGGAAGCGTCAGTTCAGACCTTCATACAGTGAAGCCTTTGAGATCAGCTCAGCCAGGCAAGGCTCCCTCCTCCGTGCGCACACAGCTGTCTGCCCCCACCTCCAAGTGGGCACACGTGCCACCTACATTCTCTGTTCTGTCGCCCCCCCCCTGCCCCGCCCCCCCCCCCCCCCCCCCCCGTGCACTCGGGAGCTTTGAGTCTTGCACAATCTGGGCTCAGAGTCGGCACCCAAAACTCCAGGCACCAATAATGGTGTTGGCTGAAAGAGCGATGAGGAGTGTATGAGAGACAGAGGAGGGAGGGGGGTGGAATTTGGGGAATGGGATGGCGCTGCAGAGGAGGCAGAGGGGGTCAGGGGACAAGAGAGAGCCCAGGGGAAAGAGTGTGGGTTGAGGGCCAGGGGAGGGGACCTGGCCATCAGACCATTGTGCTGAGGGTGGAGGAGTCCTCTGAGCGCACCGGCAGCACGGGGGCCCTCTTGAGGGGACGTCGGGTCTCGTCCCGATTCTGCCACACATAGTGGGCCAGGTAAGCCACCACCAGCGCCAGCCAGCCCCCCATGGTGACCAGCAGGGCCACGTCTGTGCTCCGCCGGGCCCCGCCCCGCCCCGCCCCACACAGCTCTTCCTCCCCTGCCAGCAGCAGAAACTCCTGCCCCACGAGGTCTGGTCGGGCTCCAGGGCCACACACGATGCCTGTCCCAGTGCCCGGTGCCAGCCTCACCTGTCTGAGAACCTCCTGGAGGGCACAGTCGCAGCGCCATGGGTTGGCAGACAGGTTCACTTGGATCTGCAGCCCCACAAAGGCCTCCACGGGCACTGAAGCCAGCTGGTTGGCAGAGAGGTCGAGGTGCCGCAGCGTGCCCGCCAGGCCTTGGAAAGCAGCCCCTGAGAGGTGGGCAAGGACATTATGGGACAGATCCAGCTCCTCCAGAACAGGCAGGTGCTGGAAGGCACCAGCTGGCACCGATGCTAGCCGGTTGGCATCCAGGTAGAGCTTGCGGGTGTCGTTGGGAATGCCAGTGGGCACGGCAGTCAGGCCTGCCTGGCTGCAGCGGAATGTCCGCTCACCAGCTTCCTCTGCCATGTAGCAGCCCTGGGGAGGTACCTGGGGGCTGGGCATGGTACCCCCTGTGCCCATCACCAGCAGCAGGGACAGGAGGTAACTGGCTGGTGCGAGCATGGCCGCCGATTGGCATAGTCCTGGAATGGAGTAGGATCTGGGGAAGACAAAGTCCCGTAAAGGAAAGTGAGTCAAGAGAATTCCATTTCCCAGGGCCAGCTCTCTTCCTGGGGGCCCCCTGTGGAGTCTCTTTGAACTGGGGATCTTCCTTTGGGGGTCTCGCAGGCCTGGCAACGTTTTGCTTTCTCTTTGGGGTGTAGGGCTCCTCATTCAGGCCCTTTGGGTAGGAAGTCCCCTGGGCCTGAGACTCTTCTAGAGTCTCTTTGGTTCTGGAGGACTAATCTATGAAGTCTCTTGGGCCAAGGCCCTGTTGTCATTCTGGGTCTGGGGACTTCTAACTTTCTGCTTCTGCCCATGTGTTGATTTTCCTCAGTGGAATAAAGTCTTTTTCCACCAACTTACCTGGTGGCTGCCAGGCGGGCCAGGTAGGCACCAAGAAGGCCAGTTGGCACTAGAGCGAAGGATACAAATAGGACAGGTCAGTCATAGGACTTTAGGGCACCGTGACTAAGGGCCCACCTCAGTGCCCATCTACCCCTTTTCCTGGAGCATCCACCCCTCTGCCTGCTCCAGCTTTGTCTCCTCTACCCCACCCCTTTCTGCCCTGTCCCCTCTCTCCTCTAAGCCTCTTACCTCTGTTGGGGGGAGAGCCTTCTCCTGGGCTGCCCCCCTCCCGGAAGTAGCCTCCCTGCTGCTCCGCTCTGGAGACCCGCTTCCTTCTCCAGAAGTCCTGCTTGCTCATAGCTGCTGGAAGTTGGGGGCTGGGATCCAAGAGTATTGGGTTTCCTGGCATGTGACTCTGGGCCCCAGGTATCAGATACCTGAGCCATGGCCTGGCTAGACGATGCCAAGAGAGGGCAGATCCTGGACCCTGATGAACTCTGCCTGGGGAGACAAGGCGCCATTTCCATTCCCTGCCTCGGGCTCCCCTCCCAAGGCCTGCTGCTGTCATCTTCCATCCCTCCTCTCTCAGCCGGGGAGGAGACCCTTCCGTTGCCCAGAGCCTGGCCCAGCAGAAGTATCCTCGCTTGACCTGTGGGCAGAACTGGGTGGGCTAAATCTCACATCCATTGCCTCCAGCTCCCTGCAACTCCATCCCTCCCCCCACTCTCCGTCTCTGCCCTGCTACTGCACCCTGTAGCAAACTTGTCTCAGCCTTTTCCTTGGAAAACGTGTCTCACCTGAAGGACTTCGTTTTCTGCTCCTCACAGGGTGCCCAGCCCTCTTACCTGGCAAGGAGCACTGTGGTTCAATTTTAGTTTGTTCTCTGCACTGTTGGTAGATGGCCCCTCTGGCAGTTGGAAGGGGTTCTTCAAGGTGCCTGTCAGATACGGTTGTCTACAAGTTTTCCTGCTGATTTTATGTTCTGGATTGGAGCTGACTCCGGTTCCCTCACTTTGCTGAGACACTAGGTTCCAAAGTTGGTACTTTTAACTCTCTGTCATGCCCACGAGCCCAGGAGGGCTGGGACAATATTCCCCAGGGCCTCTTCGTCCCACCCATCATTTGCAGCCCAAGCCACCACATTGTACCACCGTCTCCTGATGCTCACTGGGTAGTGGAAGAGTGGGGTGTCATGGACATCTGCACAGAAGAGGCTGCGGCCATATGCTGTGGAGAACTCCCTGAGAAGGAAAACCTTGCTGGATTTTGTAAGAGACTATGGGTGACCAGGATCGGACACAACGCAGGACCCAGTGCAAAATAAATATGTGGGACCCCCGCCCTAGCCGGTTTGGCTCAGTGGATAGAGCGTCAGTCTGCAGACCAAAAGGTCCCAGATTCGATTCCGGTCAAGGGCACATGCCCGGGATTCGGGCTCGATCCCCAGTACGGGGTGTGCAGGAGGCAGCCGATCCATGATCCTCTCTCATCGTGGATGTTTCAGTCTCTCTCCCTCTCCCTTCCTCTCTGAAATCAATAAAAATATATTTTAAAAAAATGGGGCCCCATGTTGAGAGACTGTTCCATATGTCACAATAGCAACAGCAGATGGCAAAAGCAAGCACAGGGCCCTTCTGAGCACAAGGTGTGGCGCCCTGGGCAACTGCACAGGTCACATGCCCACAAAGCTGGCCCTGTGTAGGTGCCCTTTGACCAAGCCATTCAGAAGCGTAACAGGGGACAGAATCAGATGGAAGGATACCGGATGATGTCATCTCTGGGGATGTACTGAGCACTGACTCATTCTTGTGACATCGACAGGGCATTTCTCACACATTTGTCCAAGGAATCAGGTAAGATACGTTTTCCTACGCTTGGGCAGGAGAAGCGCAACCTTTGTCTGTGGGTTGCTTGTCTGTTGGCCCAGGCGCTGTGCCATTGAATAAATACTTCAGTGTCCATTTCAGAATTCTGGCTGCAGGTGGGAGAGAAAGCCGGTGGGACACTACCCCTCCTATGGCTCTTCTCTGACACTGGGCAGGGTGGTTAGCTCCGGCACCAGAGTTGAGCCTGGCTGCTGATGGAGAGAGCTGCTTCCTTTTCAGACTAAGGCAGCTGCCAGGAAAGGTTGGGACTGGGCTGCCCGGCACAGCAGCTGTAGGAGCAGCGGTCTGTGCACAGAGGCGAGGCCATCGGGAGCATGGATGTGGTTCACGGAGGGCGGCTAATTGCCGTGCTCAGTACGAAGGGGAGACCTAGAGGAAGGAGGAGCCACACCTATGATAGTACACAAGGGTTGACAAGGTTGGAAGAGAAATTCTTCTCTGCCTTGCATTCAGGGAGGATTTCCTGTGAGCCCCATGTTTCAAGCGCTGTGCTTGCTAAAGGATGTGCAGACGCTGTTCCTAAGGTCCCAGATCTGTGGCTGTGGTTAACCCGGCCTGCACATTAGGGTCCCTAGGGAGGGAGCTTTCAAAAATGAGTCCTGCCTGGGCTTCACGTGGACCAATTAAATGAAAGTGTCTGTGAAGGGGCCCGGGCACTGGTATTTTTCAAAAGCTCCCTGGGTGTCTCTAATGTGCAGCCTGAGATGAGAACTGCTGGTCTAAGGAAGACATGGACATGTGGACACCTGTCTCCACAAAAGCCTTACGGTGGTGGCCGTGGAACTGACGTGTGCGCGGAAGCTTTGAAGCTCAGAGAGAATAAATCTCCGTGGCAGAATCTGCTGGCTCTCTACTTGGTATTGTAGGGGAGGCAACACTTTACCTCTGCCCTCTTAGGGCTTTTCAGCCAGGCCTGAGAATTCACCTGACATGAGACAGGTTGACAGGTGAAAAGCATGCATATTTACACACGTTTTCCATGACACGAGAGCCCTCCTAAGACAGTGAAAACCCGAAGAAGTGGACAAACATAAACACTTTTGTCCTAGGTTGGATACAGAGAGGCAATTGTAGAAAAGTAACTAAAATAGAGGAGGCTGGAGGAAGATTAGAGTTATTTTAACAAGGCCTGTTTGTGCAGAGTTCTCTGCGCTTTGACTCCCCATTGAAGAATGTGTCCTTTCTCCCAGGACAGGGAGAGCATCTCTCACATGGCAGTTTCTGTCTCCTGTTTTCTGGAAGAAAATAGATAGGAATGCCCTTCGGGTGTCTGGGTTTTTTAAATTTTTTTAAAAAAATTTTTTTTATGTGCCTTTAGCTCAAAATAATCCTTATGCCTAAGTGGCATATTTTGGGGTGGCCTATTCTGTCACCCTTCAGTACCCATTCCTTACCTCCTCCTTTGATGACATGCACTGATTTGGGGGTAGCAAGGCACTCAGTCTGTCATGAGAGAGCCTGGGCGGTCCTTTCAGTTTATTAGAAATCCCGTTGCCCACTTTCCCCAGTCACCATGGCCGCGGGGGTGGCCCAATTCTGATCAATAATGTCTAAGTGGAACCTGCTCAAGAGGTTTCTGAGACTGTCTTTGATTCACTCATAAAAGAGAATGGGCTGGCCTGGCTGGTGTGGCTCAGTGGTTGAGTGTCGACCTATGAACCAGGAAGTCACAGTTCAATTCCCTGGTCAGGGCACATGCCTCGGTTGCCGGCTTGGTCCCCAGTAGAGGGTGTGTAGGAAGCAGCCAATCAATGATTCTCTCTCATTATTTTTATTTTTATTTTTTTGGTTTTATTTATTTATTTATTTATTTATTTATTTATTTATTTATATTTTTTAAAAATATATTTTATTGATTTTTCACAGAGAAGAAGGGAGAGGGATAGAGAGTTAGAAACATCAATGAGAGAGAAACGTCGATCAGCTGCCTCCTGCACACCCCCCAGTGAGGATGTGCCCGCAACCAAGGTACATGCCCTTGACCGGAATTGAACCTGGGACCCTTGAGTCCGCAGGCCGACGCTCTAGCCACTGAGCCAAACCGGTTCGGCTCCCTCTCATCATTGATGTTTCTATCTCTCTCTCCCTCTCCCTTCCTCTCTGAAATAAATACAAAAAATATATTATTAAAAAAAAAAAAAGAGCGGGGCTGAGCCCTCCCCTTCTCCCCTACAGCTTTCTCCCTGCTTTGGACACGCAGGGTCAACTCTGGCCATCTGTGACCTTGGGGCGATAAAGCAGAAAGGAAAGGCCAGGAGCATCATGGAGATATTGGCCTGGGTATCACTGAACCACTCTACCTCTGGACTCATTAAAAGTAACCCCCTGCTTCAGGGCTTCTCAACTTGGCTGCACATTCGGATATGTGAGGTTTTGAAAAACACTGCTGTCTGGGTCCACCACAGAGATTCTGATCACATTAATTTTGCGTGCTTCTGGGGACGGACTTTTAAAACCTCGCTAGGTGACTAACGGCACTCGGGTCAGACTCATTCCTCTGCTTGGTATTTTCTGCTGCTTTCAGATGGCATCATTCTTATCTGATACGACTAACTTTTCCAGGCCAACAGGGAAGGCTTCACCAGGAGTGACATTTGAGTTGGGTGGTTAAGGTCGAGTTCATCAGCTGGAACATGTGCAAGAGCAAGGGAGCATGAGAAGGCCTGTCTGCTCCTAGACTGTAGAGGGAGGGGTGGGCGTGGTAAAGGCTATGGTTGAACTGGAAGTGGAGCAGGTCCTTGTGGCCTTGTAGACCATGTGAGATTGGAACTTGGTTTAGGAGCTGATGGGTGGGTTTAAAATTAGGTTTGAGCCCTAGCTGGTTTGGCTCGGTGGATGGAGTGTCAGCCTGTGGACTGAAGGGTCCCAGGTTCAATTCCGGTCAAGGGCATGTGCCTGGGTTGTAGGCACATCCCTGGCGGGGAGTGTGCAGGAGGCAGCTGATCAATGTTTCTCTCTCATCGATGTTTCTAGCTCTCTGTCCCACTCCCTTCCTCTCTGTAACAAATCAATAAAATATATATATAAAAAAATTAGGTTTCATATTTGGGTCACTTTGCTGGCTGTGTGGAGAATATATATATATACATATATATATATATATATACATATATATATGTATATATAAAATAATTTAAAAATATTTTTATTGATTTCAGAGAGAAAGGGAGAGAGATAGAAACATCAATGATGAGAATCATTGATTGGCTGAGTTATCAATACATTCCCCACACAGCCTGACTGGCATGGCTCAGTGGTTGAGTGTTGACCTATGAACGAGGAGGTCACGGTTTGATTCCTGTTCAGGGCACATACCTGGGTTGTGGGCTCCATCCCCAGTGGAGGTTGTGCAGGAGGCAGCCGGTCAATGATTCTCTCTCATTGATGTTTCTCTCTCTCTCTCTCTCTCTCTCTCTCTCTATATATATATATATATCTGAAATCAATAAAAATATATTTAACAAAAAAAATCCCAACACCAAAGTGCCCTATACCTGAACTGAGAATGTACTGATGGAAGAAAGACCAGTTATTACAACAGTCCAGGAGGGAGATGCAAGTGCCTGTGTGGAAACCATGGTGTGGGACTGAAGGAGCCATGAACTGGGTGTTCCATTCTTTGCCATGACCTGTGGGGTGCATAGGAAAACTCATGGGCCAGGCTCAAGGCCTCCCGACACTTGTGCCACTGGGTACACCCTTTCCCAAATTCCCTTGGGCCTTTGGTTCTCTGGACCTCACAGCCTCTGAGATCCCTTATGGCCTGATGTCCAATGTGCCTATGATGGTGGGGCAGGGGAGAGGCTGAGACATGGCAGGCCTGGCTCCCAAGTTCAGGGCCCAAGAAAGTGGGCCCCTCAGGTCCCCACCCTGGGTGGGATGAATCACAGCTTCTCCCTTCAAGGGCAATAATTCCATGTCCCAAAGGTGTGACCTTGGAGGAAAGGATTTCAACAGGCCTCCAGGCCCCTGCCTGCCTGATGTAGCCCCAGATCCAGACTGGAGAGAGGGGGATCGTTGAAAGGGAAGGAGGAGGGCTAGCTACTTTACCTAATAGTTAGCCAGGAACACAACTAATGCCAGTGTTCGGGGCAGTTTCCGTACGAGGGGCAGCAAGGGCCTCTGCTATTCTTGTTCCTTGTGTGGAAAATGGCAAAGCATTTACACACCTCATGCTTCCATCCTTGGGTGTACTCTTTCAATTGTTCAATGTACTCCTGGCCCTCTGAGGCATGGGGATGCAGAGGGGAGTAAAATGCTCCCTACACAATGGGGGAAGACAGACTGTGCACAAATACGGCCACCTGATAGCCTCGGGGAGGGTTCTAGCTGATGTGTCAACAGGAGTCCGAGGAGCCCAAAGTAGGAAGCAGTGGACTCTGCCTGGACAGCTGGGGAAGGCTTCACAGAGAAGGTGACAGGTGAGCTAGGCCTTGAGGGATGAGTAGGCGAGACAAGAGCAAGATGGAGCAAGGTGTGTTCTGATAGTGGAGCTCAGTGGAGCTATAGTCTTGGATGTGTGTGTGAGTTACCTCCTCCAGCTAACAGTTACTGAGAATCTGCCATGCGCAGGAAATGCAACTGTGAGTAAGACATGGAGCAAGCACCCTCTCAAGGGAAGTGGATGCCGAATAGATTACTTAAATATAGCACCCGCAGGGCAGGAGAGAAGTCTTTACAAGGCACCTGTGGAAACAAGGAATGACCTTTTGGAAGAAATGCCACTCCCCAGCTGTGTGACCTTGGGCAAAATATTTCAACTCTCTGTACTGCAGTTTTCTCATTTGTAAAGTCGGGATAGTAAAAATACCTACGTCCCAGGGCTGTTTTAAGGTTGCACATGTAAAGCCTTTTGGGCAGTACCTGGAACACAGCAAGTGCTAGTGACATGAGCTGCGATGGCTACGGAAAGGAGTTGGCGTCGGGCAGGGGAAGAAGGGCCGGGTAGTAATGCCATTGGAAGGGCACCAGGGGAATCTTTTCTGAAAGCTACTGTTTTCATAGGTATTGCCCTTTTGCTCTGTACTATTGAGTTTTCTAAACTGTTTTTGCCCCTAAAGGAGAAAATATCAATTACCCACATCAAAGAAAATGCAGACTGAAGGGGTCATTAGGAACATCCCTTCTCTTGGTTCCAGAAGGAGGTTCTGGTTCCCAGGCCTGGGCTCTGGCCCTGGAGGCCCTGTCTGGCTCAGCCCCTTTCCTCTGCAGCCCAAAATAGCCAACCACAGGGCTGGGCGAAGGGAGGAGATGGAGTGCCCACTGGCAATGGTACCATCCCTGCACCTCCCCCATTTCCCACCAGCTCAGTAGCTCTCACTCAGTGCTTATCTGCTTAGCATCATGTCCCCTCTTTTCCCCTCTGCCACCACGTGACTGGGGTGCCCCCACCCAAACAAAAACACAACTGCCAACAAAATAAAGTTTTTTTCTTCCCTGCATTTGCAAGGAAGGCAGGGGGCATAAGGGGAGCAGAAATGCATTAAAGGGGAGTAGGGGGTAGTAAGAGTGGAGGGGTACCATTCTTTCCCCCAGAGGTGTGTGTGTGGGGAAAAGAGTCTGTTTCTTACACCCCACCTCCTCACTTCCCATCACTGCCATCACTCTGGAATGTGTTCCCAGTTTATCTCCCGCCCATGTTTGCTATCTCTGCCCACATGGGTGTATCTATGGCAAGCAGAGGCCATGCCACCCCGCCAGATGGAAACACCCCAAGGCTGGGAAACGCAGCTGCCTCAGCGGTCTGAGGCCCTTGCAGCGGACAAGGGGAGCCCGTGGAGGCAGCTCGCTCTGTTTTCAAAACACAAATACATTTCATAAAAAATTTAAAGCTGACAATCTCACATTACACAAAGTTTGAAACTAGAGAATGAAAAAGATCACCCCAAATCTCTCCATCCTATCAGGAGGTCTGTGCTTATTTTGTTGAATTTCCACAGGCCAGTAAAGTCAATGCTCAAATATCATTTAAATGTGGAATGGGTTAATACGAGGCAACACATACAGAGCACTTACTCTGCGCCAGGGATTGTTCTGGGTGCTTACATTTGCTGACCCATTTCATCTTCACAACAACATGAGGCGGACAATATCATGACTGTCACCATCTCCATTTGGAAATGAGGTAACTGAAGCACAGAGAGGCTCGGTGACCTGCCTAAGGGCACACAGCTGCTAACTATAGGAGCTGGAAGTTGAACTCAGGCAGTCTGGTGCCAGGATCTCACCAAACACTTTATTTTTTAAAATCACAGTTGTTAATGCATGTGCAGGCTTACTAAGACTTCTTATGGTCAATTTCAAACATAAAAAAAGTAGGTTAAATGATATAAGCAATCTCATATCCCCATCATCCAGTTTTTATCAGAATCACCTCATGGCCCATCTTGTTTCTTTTATTCCTCCACATCCCTAGCCCAGAGTATTTTGAAGCAATTTCAGTCATCATATCATTTCATCTACATATATTTTATATATATCTCCAGAGGATAAGGGGAATTTTTTATTTAAAAAATTACCACAATACCATATCATGCCCATGGACACAGACAATAGGATGGTGAAGGCCTGAGGTGGGGGCCGGGTAGAGGGGGGCATAAAGGGGCAAAATGGGAGACATCTATAATACTGTCAACAATAAATTAAAAAGTTTTTAATTCCGTAATATCAATTGGAATAGTCAGTGTTCAAAGTTCCCTGATAATT